ATAGTAGACCCAAACAAAATCGGTATCTACATAAAACAATTAATAAAATTTTTGAAAAAGAGAATAAAATGTGTGCATCAACATGTTATTATTTGCATTGCATACATGACATAATTTTTTACGAAAAGTAAATTCAAACATCCAAAGATGAGATTCTAAGGTATTTCGAGAAGTGATACATAAGAAATCTCTAGTGAAAAAGAGTTCTTCTAATGTTATCAACGTACTAGAATATTTTAAGAATTATTTCAATAAAAAAGTTTTAATTTATTTTTCTCGAATAATATTTGAATATAAAAATAAAAAATAAAAAATAAAAAATTCAAGAAAATTAATTTTCAAATATCGAAAATAAAACTGTTTTTATCAAAATCGAAGGATAACATGTAGTTGATCGGTACTATCTTAGACGAACACTGTGGGGGTGCTAATTCTTTTTCACAAGTAACCGACTTTCGAACTTTGACTGTTGCGCAAACCCTAAAATTATCTTTTTAATAAATTTTAATTAATTTTAAAATTCATTAAAAGGATATGCTTTAATAGGTGGTCAATCGCACATAGTCAAAAAAAGATTGGTGACGACTCTATTATTTTTTATTTTATTTTCAAATTCGTCGAACGGACGCAAAACCGTTACGACAACATTCATATAAACATTATTTAACTTTTAATATGAGTTAAGTTTGAATTCCATTTTTAATAGAATTTCACCTAAGTGTGTTAGATGTCTATTTCTAATGGGATTGACATATTTTTTATATAAGTGGACACATATATTTGTGAAAATAATAAGTATGTAATTACTTTATAAAAAATTATATTTCCTAAACTTTTATTACTTGTTTCATAGACTAAAAAATCACAAAATTTGTTTAAAAAGTAAATAAAAAAAAGATTTTTGGCAGGTCTTTAAAAAATATCTATAAATTGACTTTGAGAATTTATATTAGCATTTGAATAGATGATTCTAAATTTACTAATATTCCTACACTCATAAATAATTTTATATAAATTCAATACTTTTGCAAGGGAATATACCCCGCTGACTGGTCGCTTTATGTTTGCCTGTCTTTCTTTTCTTAAATTATTTTCCTTGGCAAAAATTTATTGCATTTACAAGGAAATGCATCCACCAAGATGCTACCTGATCCTATTTTATTTTCTTCGAAGCTCCAAATAATGGCGGTGATTATGATGTTTCCTTTACTCGAGTTTGGGTTTTGATTTTGTATTTTCTGCTTTTAGGTGCTTTTGAGTATGCCTATTATTGTGGGGGTGACTTCTTAGAGATCGCCATGTTGTGAGTTGGTTTTTGTGTTTATCTTTAATAATTGGATTAATTTGGAAAAAAAAAATGCGACTAAGGTGTATATAATTATTTTTGTAAATGTAATTAAAGATGTTCAAAATTTGATTTTATTCAAATTAATTGATCGAATCAAATCGATTAATCAAACAACCGTTAAATCGATTATCAAAAATAATTTTACAAAAATTTTAATTTTTAAGTTAATTTGGTTTGAAAATCATATTAATCAAAATTTTAATCAAAATATAACGAAAAATAAATATAAAACTAAAAATATAAGAAATTGATTATTTTATTTTATAAATTGTTAAAGTTTTTAATTTAATAATTTAATATTTTATTAGATAATTTTATTTAATTTATTTTAAATATGAGAAGATTTAAAATATAATTTAACATAAATATTTTAATATTCATTCAATTAAAAAATTAAACAAACCGACCGAATTTCATCCACTCAATTAAGTTTCAAAACTAACAAATTCGGTTTGAATAACAAAAATAAAATAATATTATTTGATCTTTGATTTATATTTTGGTGATTTTTTATACTCAAATGGGTTTGTATTGATTCTTTAGATTTTGTCTTTTTTAGTTTATGTTAATTTTGTAACCTCATAATTGCTTTAATAAATATTGACTTAACAAATAAAATAATATAATCCAATTCATTTCATTTCATTTTAGATAATTTGATTTAAAATTAATTAAATCTATCGAATGAATGTTGTGAGATGTAATTTTGAAAGAATGATTAGTGGTCAAAATAGAACACTACAAAAATTTTAATAGATCAATTGGACAATTTTTCCTATCAAATAATTAGTATAAAATAATTTACTTTTGAGATCTTCTATGCCATTCAAATGGCTTAAGTCCTTTTTTTTTTTTTTTTTTTGTGAGAAGTGACTCAGACCTAAGTAAGATTCTCATACAAAACCATACGAAGAGAGATTACAAAATTGAATTGAATCGGATTAATAATTTAATTTTATTTATTTATGTATTTATTTTTAAACAATAATATCTAAATTTAAATTTTAAATCTCAATATAAGTAATAATTTTTTTATTCACAGTTTGTAATCTCTTTTCTAAAAAAAAAAATAATAAATTGAATCACGTGCCTCAAACTTTTTTTTTTTTTTTACGTTATCTCCAATTTTAGTGGAAGCATATATTTTGGGATTAAATTAAGTCAACGTATATACGGAAGGAAGATAAAAGTTGTGATGTTAATTCCAACTGCTAAGACATGTTTTTGCCTCCTTAATTTGAAAACCATTGAATTTAGAGAATGTTTTTTATTAATTCACTTTTACAAGTCTAAATAAATAAATATTTTTTTTGGGGAGGGAGATTTTTAAAATTTTTAGGGCCACTTGAAATGGAGATTGTTGGGCTAAAAGCCTTCAATCTAATCATATCAGCGAAAGTAAAATCAAATAATAAATCAAACATATAAGAGAAAATAATTTAACGTAATTTGATCCAATCAACCTATATTTACAGATAAAAAATAAGATCCACTAATTGTAGAGAATTACAAACATACATCAAATCATCAACCTCACTCAATAATCAATACTCATAAGACACTCTCAATCTCTTCTAGTCTTATGGAATATTCTTAACCCAAACAAACACAAACTTAAACCCTTATGCAACCTTTCAATATAACCAAACACATACCTATATGCTCTCATACATCATACCTATGTGAATCCTCTCAGTCTCCTCTAATCCACTCACAAACAAACATACACACTCATAAGGCGTAGAGCCCCAATACTCCTATGGGGTGTCTATTCCACAAAATCCTACAACTCTCTTACATCTTTTTCTCATACCTAACCCTGTAGAGACTTCATTTATTTATAATCATACAAACTTGCCCATTAAGAATCTCTTTCCTCTTAAAATTCTTCTCTTGTAAGTCAAACTTTCCTAATAAGAATCCCTTTTCTTTTAGAATTCTTCTCTTGCAAGTTAAACTTACCTATTAAGAATTCTCTTTCTCTTAGAATTCTTCTTTTACAAGTCTTCTGGTCCATCAATCAATATCTGACAAATCTCAAACAAATCTCTAACAAATCGCAAACAAATCTCTTATAAGATTTGAGTCAATATTTTCAACAATCTCCACTTTGACTCAAATTTTATCAAATCATCTGTCTTTATGCTAGACATGTTTGGCTCCACCTGTAATGAAAGTCTCACAATCATCTTCTCTTCTCTTGTGTTTTCACCCTTCATACAAACCAATCATCAATCTTCAAAACTTAAACTCAAACTATTCTCTTGAATCGAGCTCTTCTGGACTTGCTTCTTCCCATGTCTCAAACCATGCACTTCTCACATCTTAAACCTTTAGCTCTTCTCACATCTCAAACTTTCAGCTCTTGCACGTCTCGAACCTTCAGCTCTTTCCACATCTTAAATCTTCAACTCTTCTCACGTTTCGAACCTTCAGCTCTAATACCACTTATTGGAGAACACCACAGCTCTGATACCATTTGTTAGGCTAAAAGCCTCCAATCCAATCACACCAGCGGAAGTAAAATCAAACAATAAATCAAACACACAAGAGACAACAATTTAACGTGATTTGGTCCAATCAACCTACATCCACGGATGAGAAATAAGATCCACTAGTTGTAGAGAATTACAAACATACATTAAATCATCAACCTCACTAAAAAATCAATACTCATAAGACACTCTCAATCTCTTCTAGTCCTATAGAATATTCTCAACCCAAACAAATACAAACCCAAACCTTTGTGCACCATTTCAACATAACCAAACACATACCCATATGCGCCCATACATCATACCTATGTGGATCCTCTCAGTCTCCTCTAATCCACTCACAAATAAATATACACATCCATAAGACGTAGAGCCTCAATACTCCTATGGGGTGTCTATCCCACAAAATCCTACAACTTTTACATCTTTTTCTCATACCTAACCCTATAGAGACTTCACCTATTTATAACTATATAAACTTGCCCATTAAGAATCCCTCTCCTCTTATAATTCTTCTCTTGTAAGTCAAACTTACCTATTAAGAATCCATTTCCTTTTAGAATTCTTCTCTTACAAGTCAAACTTACCTATTAAGAATCCCCTTTCTCTTAGAATTCTTCTTGTCCATCAAGCAATATCTGACAAATCTCAAACAAATCTTTTATGGGATTTGAGTCAATATTCCCAACAGGGACAAAACTTACATAAAGTTTTTTACGTGAAGTTTGTGAAATTTTTTTTAAAATGATTTAATAAAAATTTTATAAAAAATCTAAACCAATAAATTAATTGAGTTTAATAAAAAAATTAATAATATATAAAAAAATTATAAAAAATAATTATAATTTAAATTTGATTGATCATTATTTAGCGATAAAAATTTTATCAACATTTTTATTAAAAATATTTATATCAAAATATATATATCAAAATTCATTAAAACTTTTTCAAAAATTTCAAACTTGATTTATGTAATGAAATCGTTCAAAATATCAATTTTGATTTTTAATTTTAATTTTTATTTAATCAATTCTAATAAAAAACTTTTAGAATTTCACCTAATTTAAGTCTTTCCCTTTCAAGTGGTCTGCTCCTTGGAGCATATAAATCTCCATGTAAATCTCCATGCAAGCCAGAGGCATATCAAAGCGCCTGAGATGGAGAAAGGCCATGGCAAAGGCGGCGCCCATATCTTGATCATCCCATTCCCAGCTGCGGGCCATCTTCTTCCCCATTTGGACCTAACCAACCAGCTCCTCCTCCGTGGCCTGACAGCGACTGTCGTAGTCACACCTGAAATGCTTCATTATCTTAACACTATTCTTTCTTTACACTCTCCCAACATTCAACCGCTAGTCCTTCCTTTCCCAACTCACTCCCCCATCCTTGTCGGAGTTGAGAACATTGAAAATGTCACCATACACTTGCTTCCCCACATGGTGACTGCTTTTAGTGAACTTCATGATCCTTTGGTTGACTGGTTTCGGAGTCACCCGTCGCCTCCAGTGGCTATTATCACTGATTTGTTCCTTTGTTGTTGGGTCAATAAGCTAGCGTCTCATCTCAACATCCCCAACATTGGGTTCAGTGCTCTTAACGCAAATACAGTGTTGTCATGGTTTATATATGGTAAAGACCCTGCTGTTAGCTTGCCTGGAGAGATTTTTATTGGGTGTATGCAGAGCTGGGGGATCATCTTCAACACGTTTAGAGAATTGGATGGTGAAAAAATGAATTTCATCAAGGAAGATTTCATCAAACACGATAGGCTTTGGGCCGTGGGGCCTTTGCCACGGATCAATAAAGCTCCGAACATGGTACATAGTGAGAAAGATCAGAGACCAAGTTCCACTCTCCATGATCAAGTAATAGCATGGCTTGACTCTTGTGATGTTGATAAGTCTGTTGTTTATGTGGGGTTCGGAACTCAAATCAGCTTGAGCAACGAGCAAATGGAGGCAGTGGCCTCCGCATTGGAGACGAGTGGAGTCCGTTTCATTTGGACTGTCAAGATTCCATCGAACGGGGACAACCAAAGCCTGGTTATTCCCAAAGGGTTTGAAGATCGAGTGGCTGGGAGGGGGCTGGTAATCAAAGGTTGGGCACCTCAAGTTGCGATCCTGGGACATCGTGCGGTTGGTTCTTACTTGACTCATTGCGGATGGAACTCAACCCTGGAAGGGATCCTTGGTGGAGTACTGTTGCTTGCTTGGCCAATGCAAGCTGACCACTTTAACAACACCAAGCTACTTGTCGATGAATTAGGAGCTGCAATCAAAGTTTGTGAGGGTTTAGAGACTGTCCCTGATGCAACCAAACTGGCTCAAATCCTGGCTGATTCGGTGAAAACAGCACGGCCAGAGAGAATTCAAGCCATGAAGTTGCAGCGATCTGCCTTGGATGCCATCAAAGAAGGTGGGAGTTCCTATAAATCTCTTGATGTACTGGCAGAAGAATTATCTTGCTTAAGTACTTAGTACATGTACTTAGTACAACAAAATAAATCTAAAAGCAAAAAAAAAAAAAAATCTAATCCCTAGGAACTATAGTTTCTTTCGGACTTACTAGTTAAGTGTTTTGCTCCTGATATATATTAAGTGTGTAATGTCTTAGTTTTACAATGTTTGAAATAATAAGTTTGTAATGTTTAAGTTTGTAATGTTTAGCCTACTGATCTTTGACATGTTGTTGGAATCGATGCTTAGACATTCAGGATTTGAAGGAGCTTTTGCAGATAATATGTTTTTCAACCAAATAATTATTAGAATAAAGGGTTTAAAGGTAAATTACGAATTAAAAAACAAAGTTTGTAATGCCTGCTTCTTTGAATGAATAAAATGCATTTTATAAAAAGAATCTAGAACCAACTTTTGGGACTTGATTTTTCCACAAAACCAAAATATAAGACTTTATACCAATTAAGGATCCAAAATTTTAATATTCTTTCAATTCAGGCTTTTGAATTTGATTTTAATAATTATTAAAAGTTTTTATTTGATAAGAAAATCTTGTCATTTTGGGTTCGTCGCCCTTATTTATAATTTATTTTTCTTGAACAAACGATATGTTAATTGGTATAAGTAAAGAGTATTTTAAGAGCAAAATTTTGAATGTATCATGTTGATATCGACGAGTGTATCCTCAAATTATCTAATAAAAGAATTAGACCCAAGCAAAACTTGGAAATAACCCTAACTATATTACTAAAAAAAAAAAAAAATGATTCCAACTAGAATTTGATATCATAAAAAATTATCTTTGTCATTTATTCAATTAAACAAGATATATTTAATTAAGGTTTAAACTAAAATTTAGGATATAATCTATACACAAGATCAAATTTTAAGACTTTATCTAGAGGAAAATGTTATTTAGATATTATAAATAACATTTTATTTAGATATTATGTCATAACATATAAGTCCGTGGATCTACCGCTAGACTGAGAATGGAAATGAGTCACTACCAATCTTTTTTGATTAGGTGCGATTGACCACCTGATTTAAGCTGATCTGCAAAATAAAGGTTAGGTTCGAAAGTTAATTGTGCATGAGAAAGGTTGTAGCACCTCCAAAACGTCAATTTAAAAGATAGTACTAGTTTAATTTTGAATTATTTAAGCCTTGTTCATTTTTATAATTTACTAGATAATTTATAAATTTTATCTTAACAGTAAAACCTTTTCTAAATTCTTGTTCATTTATTTATTGTTTTGAAAACATTATTTTCAAGAAAGTTTTTTTTCAAAATATTTTTTTTGTTTGAAATATATTTTTCTAAAAAAGATATCAGTGGCAGAAGTAATTTTTTTTATTCATTTGTTTTTTTTTAAACAAAAAATAAAAAAAAAAGGTTAGAAATAAAATCAAATCAAATCAAATGAAAAAAAAAGGAAAAAAGGAAAACCTGCGATCGGCTCAGGTCAAGATACAGGTTGGCCCGCGGGTCTTCAAGTCGACACGCGAATTTTAAGTTGCCAAAACAACATCGTGTAGAGGCAATATATAAAGCACCATTCAGTGTTTTTTCCTTAGAACTCCAGAGCCTCTCTCTCTTTACCCCATAAAGCCTCTGACCTCTCTCTAGAAAATCCACCAGAAAGTTCAACTGAAAACTGAAAATCTCATCGATTTCTGTAAACTTCATTAAAAAATTCAATCAAAAATTGAAAAATCAACCAGTTTCTGAAAAACCTGCCATATTCTAGAATCTCACTAAAATCTGGTCAAAAACTTTAACCTTCGCCAAAAAATTTCATCGAAAAATTCAAAGTTCTTCAGAAAATTAAAAAAAAAAACTCAAAAAATTAAAAAAAAAATGAAAAAATTTCTATATCATCCTAAACTCCTCATGAACTTTATACAACCCTAAATTCACCTCCAAAAACTTGAATTCACTCCCATAACCATAAATTAACACCATAATTCCAATTCCCAAATCCTAGAAATTCTTACTACCAAAATTTTCCCAAAACTTCTCAAACAATTTTCTCTCTGTTTTCTTTGTGTTTCTCTGATTGTTCTTGTTCTATAAAATTAGACCAATTTATAAGCAGCCTAGTGATCAATTCAAGAAATGGACAGAATCAATCCCAAGCTTGATTCCTAGGTTTGCATTCTGTCCAGACGAGATTTTAGAGCTAAAATTTCAGTAGTTGTATTAGTTTGATTCTATGTTGACCATTCTCATGCATGTTGAATCAAAAGGAAAGTAGAAAAAGAACAGAAAAGGAATAATAATAATAATAATAATAATAATAATAATAATAATAATAATAATAATAATAATAATAGTAATGATGATGATGATGATGATGATGATAATAGTAGTAGTAGTAGTAGCAATATGGGTCATAATGGGCCCGAACCAAGTGGGCCTGATCAAAATAGGCCTAGTTAGGCCCAGATCAAAATAAGATCAATTGAGCTTGGACCAAAATAAGCCCAAATTGAGCTCGGATCAAAATGAACCCAATTGGAACTAGACCAAAATGGGCGCCTACAACTATTCTTTTTTGCACATCTTTATGAGACAATGATGTTGTAAAGACCTAGACACCCACTCTAGTCTCAAATTTTAAAAAATGACCTAAACTAAGCCAAGGTTAAGTGAACGAAATTAAACCACGAGTCAAATGAAGTGACCAGGATCGAGTTAACGTAAAAAATGAATGATCAAGGTGAAACCATGAATCATAAGAAATGATCTAGATTGAGCCAATATTAGGTGACTGAGACAAAACCATAAGTCAAAATAAAAGCAACCAAGATCGAGTTGAGGTTGAAATAAATGACTAGGATGAAACCACAAGTCATGAGAAATGATTTGGACTGAGCTAAGATCAGGTGACTAGGATAAAATTATAAGTCAAAATAAAACGACTAAGACCAAGTCGAGGTGGCAAATAAATGATTGAGATGGAATCGCAAGTCATAAGAAATGATTTGGACTAAGCCAAAATCAGGTGACTGGGACAAAACTACAAGTCAAAATAAAGTGACCAAGATCGAGTCAAGGTCAAAATTAAATGATCGAAACGAAACCACGAATCATAAGAAATGATCTGGACTAACCGAGATTAGGTGATGTAAATGCATGCTTTATCTAGGATGCAAATGAATCATTAATTGTGATGCCAAGGCTTTTGCCTTTTTCATTTCTGTACACTTTTAGCAAAGAAACCATCGAATATTATCTTAAAGAAATCCCCCTTCACTCTTGGCAAAGAAACTATTTTTCATCAACTCGAATGTGCATTTTTGGCAAAGAAACCATTTTTTATTAGCTTGAAAAAATGCAAGAAAACCATTTTTCATTAGCCTGGAGGCATGTTTTGGCAAAGAGACTTTCATCTACCTATCTGTTTGTCCCAAAGAAAGCCATAGACGTCAATTTCCTTTTCCCCTCTCTTTTTTTTTTTTTCATTTTATTTAGGGTTCATCTTTTGCCTTTATCTCCTTCACACTTCTTATGATTTTATTCAATTATTAATCATTATCCCAATTTAAAAGTATGAGGATGCAAGTTATTCATTTCTTCCATTCATGACAAGATATAAAACGGAAGAGCAATGTATAGAATTAAGAGAATAATAATATGGCTTTCATTTATTTGGACAATCAATTACAAATGATGGTGTGAAGGAAAAAAAATGCACAGAGGTAGCTATTTTGGGGTAGTAGTGCCCCAAGATAAATGATTAGATAACTATGATAAAAAATCTCAAATCTCCTTCAAAAGCTCAATTAAAACTTGATGCCCTAACACTTTAAAGTTCTCTGAAATTTACTGTCCCTAATATGCCTTTCCAAGTAGTGCCAATTGAAGCTGTCTTTCAAAGTTTCAATCCAAAACTTTGGATCCAAACTGCCCTTCTGAGTTTTCGACTTAAACTTCCTTTCTTTCTTTTTTTTTTTTTTGGGTTCAAACTGTTTTTTTAGATTTTTAACTTGAACTTCTCTTTTTTTTCTTTTTTTTTCTTTTTTTTTTGAATCAAGTGAAATACTTCTTTACTGCGTTAGAAATGATAAGACCGAAAGTTCATCTTCATCCATTTCTAACAAGATCAAAGCTCATCCCTAAAAAGCTCTTTTTACCACGTAAGGCCCTTCCTAATTCGGAGTCCATTTTCCTTTATCATCATGCTGACTTGGAAGAATCTTTTTCAACACCAACTCTCTTTTTTGAAACTACCAAGGTTTGACCTTTTTATTATGAGCTCTCATCATTTTTTTTGGTACAATTGGCCATGGCACAGGGCCATTAATCTATTTTCCTTAATAAAGTTCCATTGCTCATAGCATTCTTGAATCTATTCAGCTTCTTCTAGCCCCACTTCCCTTAAACCTTTCAAAGATGAGATTTTTACTTTTACTGGCAACACAGCTTCCATCCCATAGACTAAGAAAAAATGAGTTTGATACGCATGTAAAGCAAAAGGTAATTTTTCGTATCAGTCATTTTATGTTTTAATCATCTTTTTCAGAATCCTTTTAATGTTTTTGTTTGTAGCTTCTACTACCCTATTCATTTCTGGACGATACGGAGTCAAATTATGGTGTTTGATTCTGAATTGGGCACATATTTTTTGCATCATTTTGCTATTCAAATTCTTCGCATTATCTGAGATTATTCTTTTTGAAAGCTCATATCTGTAAATAATTTCTCTTTTGATGAATTTACAGACCATTGATCTAGTTATAGTGGTGAAAAAGGTAACTTCAACCCATTTAGTGAAGTGATCAATCATCACAAAAATAAATCTATTTTCATTTGAGGCTTTTGGTGTGATAAGCCCAATGACATCCATTCTTCACATAAAAAATGGCCAAGGTAGTGCTATGACATGCAAAGCACTAGACGGAGCCTAAATCTTATCAGTATAAATCTAGCATTTATGGCACCTTCGAGCATAATCAATACAATCTTTTTTCATTATCAACCAATAATATCTAGCTCACATGACTTGTCGTGCCATCATATACTTATTTGTATGTGTTTTATATACACCATTGTGCACTTCCTCAACAATTCTTTTAGCTTCAGATGCACTTACACAT